CTGCACAGAGTTGATAAACCATAGAAAATAAAATATGCCAAACTAAGAACTGGCGTTGACACACAAGAGCAAGTTTGAATGAGTGAATGTAACATTCTGACCTCAAGACAAGACAAATCAGGGCTGAGTCAGATGAAACTGAGAACAGGCCTATTTTATTGGCTAGGAAGAAATCCCAGCATGCATTTGTGACCTTCTGTCTCTAAATTGAGGATGGGTAAGTGTTTTGCAGTGATTCTCACCCGGATTGGAACCAACACCCACACTAAATCTAATGGATGAATGCAAAATGCAAAAAAATGATGTAACCCTTTTTGTCCTTTAAAAGGACTTCATCAGACTAAAATAATGTTCTTATTGATTGAATTATGTATATTGGGGGGAGATGGGGGAAAATATAAATGGAAACATTGGTTATAATTATGCATTGAGAGGAAACATCAAAGAAGGGATGCTAAATTAAAAATTTAAAGATTTGGGGGTGGGGGCTATCTGATCTGGCATCTAGACATAACATCTGATGTTTTTGGCATCTGATCTGGCATCTAGACATAACTTCTGATGTTTTTGGCATCTGATCTGGCATCTAGACATAACATCTGATGTTTTTGGCATCTGATCTGGCATATAGACATAACTTCTGATGTTTTTGGCATCTGATCTAGCATCTAGACATAACTTCTGATGTTTTTGGCATCTGATCTGGCATCTAGACATAACATCTGATTTTTTGGCATCTGATCTGGCATATAGACATAACATCTGATTTTTTGGCATCTGATCTAGCATCTAGACATAACTTCTGATGTTTTTGGCATCTGATCTGGCATCTAGACATAACATCTGATGATTTTGGCATCTGATCTGGCATCTAGACATAACATCTGATTTTTTGGCATCTGATCTGGCATCTAGACATAACATCTGATTTTTTGGCATCTGATCTGGCATCTAGACATAACATCTGATGTTTTTTGGCATCTGATCTGGCATATAGACATAACATCTGATTTTTGGCATCTGATCTTTTGGCATCTAGACATAACATCTGATTTTTTGGCATCTGATCTGGCATCTAGACATAACATCTGATGTTTTGGCATCTGATCTGGCATATAGACATAACATCTGATTTTTTTATTTTTCTGATTTTTTTTTTGCATCTGATCTAGCATCTAGACATAACTTCTGATGTTTTTGGCATCTGATCTGGCATATAGACATAACATCTGATGATTTTGGCATCTGATCTGGCATCTAGACATAACTTCTGATGTTTTTGGCATCTGATCTGGCATATAGACATAACATCTGATTTTTTGGCATCTGATCTGGCATCTAGACATAACATCTGATGATTTTGGCATCTGATCTGGCATCTAGACATAACATCTGATGATTTTGGCATCTAGACATAACATCTGATTTTTTTTGGCATCTGATCTGGCATCTAGACATAACATCTGATGTTTTTGGCATCTGATCTGGCATCTAGACATAACATCTGATTTTTTTGGCATCTGATCTGGCATCTAGACATAACATCTGATGATTTTGGCATCGAGACATAACATCTGATTTTTTTTGGCATCTGATCTGGCATCTAGACATAACATCTGATGTTTTTGGCATCTGATCTGGCATCTAGACATAACATCTGATTTTTTGGCATCTGATCTGGCATCTAGACATAACAGCTCAGCTGATTTCAGTTAGTTTCTTTAATGCCTTTTTGTTTTTTTATCTCTCTTAAATATCCTACATTGTGATAACAGATTTGTTAACAAATGTAAAATATTGTAAGAACCTGGATCCAAATCTACTGTGGAAGGCTTGGTAATCAGTGCACTTCTTATACAATTTCACCTTTAATTAAAGCAGCATTCCATACAGGGCTAAATGAATTGGTCGCAAATCAGATTATGAAAACCAAGAACCGGCCTATTTTATTGGCTAGGAAGAACTCCCGGCCTTGTACAGGGTGAACCTTACTGTGAAAAAAAATGGATGTTGGAAAATCTTCTCAATGATGAAGAAGAGACTTGAAACAATAGATATGAGATTCTACTAAAGGATGCTGGGAATACACTATTGAAGACACCGTTGCCACTAATGGCTTACCATCAAACAGCTTCTTCTCACGAACCACTACCTCGTGAAATAGACTGCCAAGAGGATGTTTCCCCGATCACTACAATCTTTACCTGTTCAAGTCTAGAGTTAGCCGATATCCTCTCCTATCCGCATAAATCCTTAAAGTAACTCTTTACCACGAGTGATCCCTCGGCCTTGTACAGGGTCAACCTTACTGTAAAAAAATCTCCTCAATGATGAAGAAGAGACTTGAAGCAATTGATATGTGATTCTACAGAAGGGTGCTGGGGATACCATGGACCAAACACTTGTGTAGCGACGTATTTTTAACGAAAATGGATACAAAATGACGTTTCTACTTAGAATAAAAAAAAAGACAGCTGATATTTTTATGGCCCATAATGAGGAAAGAGGGCTTGGAGAATTTAACTGAAGACATATTGAAGCCAAAAGGGACAGAGGAAAGCGGTGAATAAAATAACAAACCATCTTGTGTAAATGGTTGGCAGAACAGGAATTACAAGAGATAGCAAAAAGACAAACATTGATAACAGTTACAGGGAAGGGGAAGTTGTGGAGAGCTATGATCGTCTACGTCCTGAACAGACACGGCACATAGAAGATAAATCACAGAGGAGAATTAGCTTAAAGGTATCTGGTGCAATAGAATTTCGATGGGTGACTAGCTTACTGAAGGTGGAGTTAATATCAAATTGACCCTTAACGTAATCTCGAGTGGCCGACGGGCCTTGTACAGAATGAACCTTACTATGAATAAAAAAAGAATGTTGAACAATCACCTCAAAGAAGAAGAAGAGACTTGTAGCAATAGATATGTGATTCTACAGAAGGATACTGGGAATAGACCATTGAAGACACCATTGTCACTAATGGCTTACCATCAAAGAGCTTTTTCTTGTGAACCACTGCTCCGTGGAACAGACTCCCAAGAGGATGTTTCCCCGATCACTACAATCTTAACCTGTTCAAGTCTAGATAGAGTTAACCGTTATCTTCCCCTCCTATCCATATAAACTACCCCTTAACGTAACCCTCTACCTCGAGTGGCTCCTGGCCCTTGTACAGAGTGAACCTTACTGTATAAAAAAGCGTTAACGATAAAATGCATATAAGGTAAAGAAATAATTGTTTACGAAATTCGCCGTGAATGTAAATCAGGGGTCACCAAATTACGTCCTTGATTTCAATTCATCTGGCCCGCCGGCTCGCCGTGCCACAAATCAGCTAAAATTATTATATGGAATTATCAATAAATTGTTGTTAAAATTGCTATGTAGAAAATATTCAAATAAATAAATGTAATTAAAAATGCCAAAATTTGACCAATCGTCTGACAGTAATTCGCGACTTTTGATATCCGAGTGCTTTTTGTGTAAGTACCTTTTTGTGTAAGTACCTCCAATGAAGTTTCTAAGCGATTAGGAGCTTGCTACAGGGATCCTGTTTTAATTTGCATTACCGTGTTGAAACCGGTCTGAAGAATGCTGTATATAAAAAGGAATGACTTCAGCGAATTATGTCATATATTTTGCCTGAAAACATTATAAAATCTAAAGTATGTAACGTCAACACATGTAATGAGGCTGACTGATAAACACTTGAAAGCAATTCTCTTGTTTGGATGCCAAAATTCCAAAGCTAATATTAATTACCGTATTTTCTGGCTTACAAGACGCTGCAGCTTGGAAGACGAACCCGAATATTGGAAACAAATTTTTAAGAAAAAAAAGTCATTCTATAAAAGTTAGAATTAGATAGATAGCTAACAGGCAGGCCAATCAGGTTAAGCTTACTTGAGCCTGGGCGTTGCCTTACATTCGTCTTTTTCAGGGTATTTTTTTAGGAAAAAAGTGCGTCTTGTAAGGCGAAAAATACAGTATATCTTAAAAAGGTAAACGCCAGTTTCCCAAATCTCACTAACCTTTTTTGGTGCTTAGTTTGAGATTCAGACATGTGTACACTGGGTGTGATATAATTATTTTATTGCTAATGTCGCCTTCTTTGATAACTTTTTGGTAAATAAATACGTTTGTTGTCTTTATATTTTGTGTATCAATGTATTGAACAAAATGGTTATCCGGCCGACACTCGTCATTCTCTCAGTCACCTGACCCTCTGCGAAAAAGTTTGGTTACCACTAGACCAGAGTAAAGAAAACGAAAACACAAAAGTCCATTGAAATAAGGAAGATGAATAGCCCGACAGTGATTGATTTGGCTTCGAGACATCATTAGATTTCTTTATTTTATTTCTTAAAAAAAAAAAACAAATGGATGGACTACGAGGAGAGGGAAGGGGTATACAGGGTTGAATCTGAAGTGAAGACTCACTTGATGCAGGTGAGATGAAAAGAGAGTTAGAGAGAGGAAAAGAAGGAAATGGAGAGACAGTTAATTAGAGACGAGGGTTGGGAGACATTTCCGTCAATGAGGGAAAAACAGGCAGAGATATAAATCAAACAGTTTGGTTGACATGAACAGACAGTGAAAACAGACGGACAGGTAGAGACAAAGACAGACAGACAGATTTATTTAATTTTATGAAATTTCGAGAAATTAATTTTTATGCAGATTAGTGTTTATATTAGCTACACACATGGCCTGAAGATTACATTCAATCATGAAACAGACTGTTAGCTACTCAGTATTCGCATGCAGTCAATTTCTTATATCCCCTGAAGAGTGGACGGATAGCTCCGCCGAAGAAACTCTGCAGTCGGAATGCTGAAGATAACATCAATCAACTAAATGACAAATTTTCACTTATATATATATATATATATATATATATATATATATATATAAAAGATATATAATAGATAGATGAGATAGATAGATATGAACATTACTGATGATAGAACCGAGATAGATAGATTTTGAACAGACTGAGATAGATAGATACATAGGATAGATAGATAGATAGATAGATAAATTATGAACAGACTGAGATAGATAGATGCATTACTATAAACCGAGATAAATAGATAGATTAATGAACAGATAGATGGATTATGAACAGACTGAGATAGATAGATAGATATAGATAGATAGATAGATACATAAATATAAACCGAGAGATAGATATATAGATAGATTTTTTTCTATAAACCGACTGAGATAGATAGATAGATAGATTATATAAACCGAGATAGATAGATAGATAGATATAGATAGAACAGACTGATAGATAGATATAATAGATGGATAGATGATGGATAGGATCAGAGATATAAAACGAGATAGATAATGGATTAGACTGATAGATAGATGGATATTGATAATGAACCGATAGATAGATAGATTATGATTTCAGACTGAGATAGATAGGATGATAGATGATGATGAATAGATAGATAGATGAATAAACAGACTGAGATAGATAGATAGATAGAATAGATAATAGATAGATAGATAGATGAATAGATAGATTATGAACACAGATAAAAGATATAAACATATGAACAAAGTCAGATGTGAACAGACTAAGGGTACATCGATTAATATGAACAGAATAGCATCGATGAATAGATAGATAGATAGATTATGAACAGACTGAGATAGATAGATAGATAGATAGATTATGAACAATCTGATATATGTGAGTGACGGACACACAGACAGACAAAAAGATTGATAAATCAATAACCAGACAGATAGCTATGAACAAAGTTAAGCAGATACATATGAACAGATAGAGATAAAGATAGATGCAAAAGTTAGATGGGAACAGACTAATATACATCGATTAATATGAACAGAACAGCACCGATGAATAGATAGATAGATAGATAGATAGATAATAGATAGATAGATAGATAGATAGAAACATGTAGATGAGGATACATTACGACTAGAACAGAGAGATGAATGTCTGTTATAGATAAAATTAATAGATAGATAGATAGATAGATAGATATAGATAGAATCGACTGAGATAGATAGATACATATTCTACTAAAACAGACTAGAGATAGATAGATAGATAGATAGATAGATAGATGAATATAAACAGACTGAGATAGATAGATGCACATAGATAATAAACCGATGATTTTATGGATAGATAGATAGATAATAGATAGATAGATAGATAGATAGATATATAGATATGAATGATACGTGAACAGACTGAGATAGATAGATAATGGATTTATGAACAGACTGAGATAGATAGTTAATAGATGGAGATAGATAAACTAGATAGATGATAGATAGATTATGAGATAGATAGATAGATAGATTATGAATGATGAATTTTATAAAGACTAGATAAAGATCAAACACAGACGATACATATAGATGATAACAGATAAGATAATATGAACAGAATAGCATAGATGAATAGATAGATAATATATTACATGTACTGAGAGGATAGATTATGAACAATCTGATTTGGTTTGATTACCAGGCATTCTTTAAGAATACATAGAACAGATAGAAATGGAGAGATGAACAAATTAGAATAATATCATGATTAATATGATGAATAGATAGATAGATAGATAGATAGATAGATAGATAGATAGATAGATAGATAGATAGATAGATAAACATGTACTGACAGGATACATTACGTTCACTAGACAGAGAGAGAGAGAGAGGGAGAGAGACAAATGAATGTCTGTTATAGATAGATAGATAGATAGATAGATAATAGATAGATAGATAGATAAACATGTATAGGATACATTACGTTCACTATAGATGAATGTCTGTTATAGATAGATAGATAGATAGATAGATAGATAGATTACATAGATAGTAGATATGAATAGATGGGAAGTAAATGAATAAATATGAATGATATGACTGAAGAACTCAAAGAAAATTGGATTAAATTCCTCCTGTGCATTACCGTAATTGGCAACGGGTTGTGTGCAAAGACTTTAGTTTTGTGAAAGAAAGAAAGAAAAATAATTATCAATCCAAAAACAGCTTTTTTTTGTCTGATCCTTGCATTTCATTTTTGTTTTTGCTTTTAATTTTACTCTGAACGTCGCTTGGCGCCCTTGTTCTTGCAACATGACTTTTCACTTGGAATGTCGTCTTCCGATTCTAAGGCTGGTGCCAGAGAAAGACGCGTAAACGGTAAAACTCACTACTTATTAGTGTTTCGTCAGCCTTGTGACACACACAGTGACACAGAAGAACCACAAAAATTTTGTCTCAATAGGGCAGATCGATTTTGGAATAATTGTACTGCACTCAATTTAAAAGTTAGGGTTTGACATGATATATGATGAAACAAAACATGATTTTTTTTTCAAATCCTTACCATTTTTGAGGGAATGGGTGTTATTCATAATGCCGGTCGTCTTCGAGTATAGAATCCAGAGGTTAGCAGTGAATATTTCGAAGACAGTAGGAAAGCGTTGTTCAGGTTAGCAGTGGATATCCCGGTAAAGTAGCAGAGCGTAGTTCTTCCTTCTGTTTCTCTTCGCCTGACAAGCTGGCACTGGAAATTCGGATAGAGTAAACAAAATGGCCGCCTTTATACACGACGGATTGAATATTCTACGTTTTCTGATTGGTTAACCTTCTATTGGTGGACTATAAAGTGAGTCAAGTCATTTGGGCTAGCTCACTAGTTACATTTATATACACAAAAAACTGCAACAATGGGTTTAAAAATTAAGTTCAAAATCGTAGCGTTGGAATTTCAGTCCAGTGAAAATTGAAAGCCCAGCCCTATAAATTTTATAATTTATTGAACCTTTACAAACTGTATATGGACAAGATGCCTGACACAAAGAGATCTCAATCTATAAAAGCAGGATGTGTGTGCGTGTGTGTGTGTAACGAATGCACGGCCGCAATTTTAGACGGATTTATATTTTATTCTTATACGTGAGTTATATATTTAAGTAAATGTTTATAATAAACAGTATTAAACATTCAGGCCGGTAAATGTTGTTAATGCTGTTTATTATAAACAGAGCATTTACTTAAATATTTGTGTCTCTATAAATAACGTATAACAATAATATATCTCTATCTATAAAAGGCAGGATGTGTGTGTGTGTGTGTGTGTGTGTGTGTGTGTGTGTGTGTGTGTGTGTGTGTGTGTGTGTGTGTGTGTGTGTGTGTAACGAATGCACGGCCGCAATTTTCAACGGATTTGCACCAAAATTTACATGCACATGCTCCAAGTTAGCGGGAAGGCCAAGACCGATTTCGCATTTCCCAACTCCCATCGATAGTGGAAAGAATCAATTTTTTCATGCTTCTACGGCAGTTTTCATGTAGTTTGCGACCATTTTCTACTGGCCAGAGTGAGAGCCAATAGCTGGCTGTCACGAATAGGCAGGAAGGTTTTATTGGCCAGCGTGAGAGCCAACAGCTGACTGACACGAATGTTAACTAGCATGTTAGCATGCAAAAAAAGTCGACAGCTGCATTCGTCACAAGTGGGAAAAATTTAAATCTGCATGGCACTTTACTCCAATTGGCTAATTCGCTTGCTTAAACTCAACGTTGATTCTGATTCTGCAGAACTGGGTTGGGTGTGAAAAAGTATTTGTTGTTAACATTCTTTTTTCATTCGGTTTTTCCAGTTACGAGTCCTTTTTTAAAGCTGATCGTTTTGTGTTCATTTTGTTTAGTTCTTTTTTCGTAACAGATTTAATGTTTAGTATAGAGCTTAGAAAAAATTCGCAGTGTGAGATAGGCAAGAAGTAAGGCATGTAGCAACATCAGCACGGCAAAGGGCACTCCTTTAAAGGCAAGGAAGGGCAAAAATATTTTAAGTCAAGTGATAGCGATTGCTGTATGAGTCGTATGATTTTTGAATTAAGCACGGGCAACGCCGGGCCATGTTGCTAGTTATTACTAAATCTTTGTGCCATCAAATACGGGAAATTATAAAAAACAATTTATGGTGTTACATCCACTTTTATCTATTTTTTGTTTTAAATAATTATGATCTGACAAATTCATTGAGTAGCTTTTTATCTAATCTTTTACAATTTGATTACGTTGATCATTCATTATTGACAAGATGCAAGGCACAAGGACATTATTACTAAATCATTGTGCTATCAAATAAGACCTTCATTTACTTCAAAGGGAAATTATACTGAATAATTTAGCTATATCCGGTTATCCATCCAGTTAAATGTATATCAGTCAAATGTCCGTTTGGCGAAATATCCGTCTACCAAATGTCCGAATACCGGCCATTTTACTATATATATATATATATATATATATATATATATATATATATATATATATATATATATATATATATATATTTTCTTTGTAAATCACTAGCATCGTCTTAAATGCCGCTTAAGATTATCGCACAAAATTTCATAACTGAATCAATAAGCTGTCAGATCCTCATAAGTCGAAACCGACGGGAGAGTCCGTTGATCCTTTTAATGGTGGCTGGTTCCCAGGTATGGACAAATAGTGAGGGTGGTAAAAACGTCTTTTTATAAAAATGTATTGATGGTATTTTTACTATAAAAATGCATTATTGTACTTTTTTTAGTGTTTTGATTTACTTTTATAAGTGGGGGATCGCTATTTGTACATACCCTTATTTTCTAACACGATTACAACTCAGGGTCAGGGTGGACCTGGGAACAACTGCAATTAAGAAGTGGTGCTACGCTCCACAAATCCTCCAATCTACATATCAGATTTCTTACTGCCGGGTGCTACCACCTCGGGTCTGGGAAGAGCTGGGAACAAAAGCATTTAAGAAGTAGTTACGGGTTCATTAAAACCTCCCGATCAGAGGCTATGCTACCGGATGTAGTTTAACGTTACACCCAGGACTGCCCTAACAGGTGCTACCACCACGGCTCTGGGAAGAGCTGGGTAGAAAAGCAATTAAGTAATGCTTACGCTTTCTTAGGTCAGGGTAGACTTGAGAGCAACTGCAATTAATAGGTGATTCCACGCTGCTCAAAACCTCCAATCTCCCGATCAGATGCCTTGCTGCCTGATGTAGTTAATCGTCATACCCAGAAATGTCCTATCAGGTGCTACCACTTCGGGTCTGGGAAGAGGTGGGTAGAAATGCAATTAAGAAATGGTTACGCGTTCATTAAAACCTTTCGACCAGAGGTTTTGCTGCCGGATGTAGTTAAACGTTACACCCAGGACTGACCAACAGGTGCTAACATCTCATGTTTGGGTAGACTTAAGAACAACAGCAATTAAGCGATGGTTCCACGCTCATCAAAACCACCAATCTCCCGATCAGATGACGTGCTGCTGGATGTAGTTAATCGTCATACCCAGGCTACCCTGACAGATTCTAAACACCCCGGGTCAGGGTGTCCCTGGGAACAAAATCAATTAAGAAGTTGTTCCACGCTCTTTAAACCCGCCAATCTCAAGATCAGACGCCTTACTGCCGGATATAGTTTATCGACATACCCAGTACTGCCCATTGGGTGCGGTGTTTAACCTGCTGTTGAGGTGCAGTCGGCGTGTATACTGTTGTCACATCCGACAGACAGAAATAAATGTTCGACATTTCGTAAAAAATACGAATCAATGAAGGAATCCCTATTATATTGGTAAATTTTCACTTCATACCAGAAACCTTATTCATCATAATTGTTTTAGTTGTAACCCTCTACCTTGAGTGTCTCTCGGGGTTTGTATTAGGCGAATGTTACCGTTATAAAAGTATACATATTCAGCTATGATCGTCCATTGAAAGCAGCGAGAGAATGACTGATAGCTTTGTTTGTCAGCGAGCTTCTTTTTTTTTTTTTTTTTTTAAGTATGTTTGTTTTATCGAAAGGAAGAAAGAAAACTTGTCACTTTTGATAACCGCAGTTGTACGGAAAATGTCCGATTATCCAAGCAGCAAAAACTTCAAAACATTACAAGTTTATCGGCGACTTTTATCGAAATGGACTCCATTAACAATAAAGGAAAAATAATTTGTCCCCCTATTTCAGGGTATTAACTGCAAACCCCGCCTAAGGCCCCACCAGGCTGTCTGCCCTCATAGGGCGACTAAAAACAGCCTCTCCTTGGGAAAATAGAAAAAAAAAGACACAAGTAGATCCTATGAATAAAGTCCGAAAAACAATTTTTCAATTTCACTGTCCTGCCTGATGGGACTCTTAAGCCTGTCTGGCCCATGAGTCGACGAAAGGACAATCTGTTTTTGCTAATTACAGATAAAAATTATCCTATACCAGCCAAAAATAGTGACACCTGATGATGACCAGAGCGTAATTGGTTGAAACGTCATCTCTAATAGTTATTATAGATTACGACGTTTCAACCAATTTTTTTACTATTATCATCAAAATATCCATTTTTTTTTATTTCAACCAAAATAGTGGACACCTGATGATGACCAGAATTTAATTGGTTTCAAACGTCGTCTCTATACTAACTATGGAGACGACGTTTCAGAATTTTACGCAAAATCTGGTCATCATTTAAATGTCCAATTTTGGCTGGTATAGAATAATTTATATATCTATATTATTAAGTCATTTTCATCTGTATGGACGTTAATAGGTTGAGCTATAGTGTCCTGCTTGATGGGCTGTCTGCCTCCTTGAGGCGACGAAAGGACAATCTGTTCCAGTGCAAATGTGAAATATTCAAAAAAAGGGTAAAGTACGAATAATAATAATAATTTTCACTAGTTGTACCGCGAATATCCGATTGTACTGCAAAACATTAAGCGCATAGTCAACTTTTATCGAAATGGACTCCATTAACAAGGAACGAAAAATAATGTTCCCTCTATTTCAGTGTATTGCCTGCCCAACCCCTTAAGGTCTACCACGCTGTCTGCGACTAAAAGACAGTCTTTCCTTGCGCAAACGAGGCCAAAAACCACAAGTAGATCCCAAGAATAAATTACGAAAAATAATTTCCCTTCTGTTTCAGTGTCTGCCTCCATGAGGCGACGAAAGGACAATCTGTTCCAGTGCAAATGTGAAATGTTTCAAAAAGGCCCCATAAGTAAAGTACGAATAATAATAACCATAATTTTCTTTTCATTTCAGAATTTCGCTTCACGGTCACATCATGTTGAAACACGAGTTCCCGTACGATCACCGGAGTTAAGCAACGTCGAGCCTGGGCAGTACCTAAATAGGTGACCCACTTGCGAATATCAGGTGCTGTAATCTTGGATATGTGGATGGTCTAAGCTTAGGTCGGTATCGTTTTAAAACACCGATTCCCGTACAGTCACAGAAGTTAAGCAAAGTCGATCCGGGTCAGTACCCAGATGGGTGACCTTTTGAGAATACCAGGTTCTGTAAGCTTGAATGTGTGGGTGGTCTAATAAACTTAGGTCAATATCATTTAAAATACCGATTACGGTAAAATCACCAAAGTTAAGCAACATCTATCCTGGTCAGTACGCAGATGGGTGACTGCTTCGTAATGCTAGGAACTGCAAGAATGTGTGGGTTGTCTAATGAGCTTACGTCAATGTCATTTTAAAACACCGATTCCCGTACAATCAACTTCGGTCCTGGATGAGTGACCGCTTGTGAATACTATATGGTCAGGATCGATTATATTACAGATCCTCCCTTGGATTTTGCCTTAATAACATTTGCGGCCTAAATACACAGAAAATAAATATATATATATATATATATATATATATATATATATATATATATATATATATATAGTAAAGGTAATAAATCCGTTGGTATATAATTCAAGTGGATCCTAGTAAAAACTGATCCACAAAATGAGCTCAGTGTATTATTACAGAGGAAAATAATTGGCACACAATAACATTAAAAAAATACCTCATATGGGGTTTAATTTAATGAAGTAATTTGTGATTTTATTTGTACTAATATATATATATATATAGTATAATAAAAAGAAAGAACATGTTAATTCCTGTGTAGCGAAGAAACCATATTTTAAATCAGTTTATATATATATATATATATATATATATATATATATATATTATTTATAAATATGTGGGGTTTTATGTGTGTGTCTAAAGTTGTAGGAATGTTTTATTTTCCGAACACGGTCACCACATTGTGGCCGTGTTCATAGTTAATGTGATTAAATGTTGACTTTTCCTTTTGTCTCATTAGGTATTCCGTTATTTAATTTTTTTTTTACATGTGAATAAGGTTATTATACTTTTATTTTCTACACGTACGTTTCGAATGGAGTCTGGTAGGTTTTGGAACTGTTGGTCGCGTAGGTGTGTCGCAAATCGTCTAGATAGGCGTCTAGTAGTGTGACCAATGTAATTATTTATGAATTCGGTTTGATAAGTGGCATTTGATCTCAGAGATAATGTTCGTTTATTGTAATTTTGATTTTGCTGGTGTGTTGTTATTCTTTATGATAAGGTTAGCTATTTTAAACTTTTTGTAATAGATAATTAATTTTCTTGTTTGGTTTGACTAGTGCAGTGTATTTCTTTATGATATTTCTAAGAGAAAGTTCGTTTTATTTATAGTTAACATGTATTTGGCTTTTGTAGAAGATGTTAATGTTATTGTTTATTTGTATGTTCAGTATCATTATTAGTTACTTTAGAAAGAAATAGTCTAATCTGGTGGTCGATGAGGTAGTTAGGAAACTGTTATTAACTAGTTTCTCTTTTACTATTGTCGGAGTTACCTCCTCCTTCAGTTTGTAACCCTTTCACCAGAGGTCTCTCTTTCCTGGCTATAAATAGCCAATGACCCTTCGCTTCGACCTCTTTTTCCCTTTCAGGCCTGGGCACTAACATCCCGAGGTAAATTTCTCTGCTTCCTAGAGGACTCTAAATATCAACCTCGAAATGTAGTCGCTAACAAGGGATAGCGTGCACACACGCACGCACACACAGAATATTCACACACGCACGCACATACAGAATATTCACACACACTTTGTCCTTCGTACTGTTTCCTTGTATTGTAACTTGTTATGAATATATATTTGTTGTGTATACATATATTATCGGTCTTGTTTTGTTTGCTTTCTTTTCCTTCTTCTTTGGACTTAATCAAAGTCCAACCTTTTTATGTAGTTGGGCCCGGCGGGCAGGAGTATCTGAACCTTACAGGCGTTTCGTCCACGTCTGACTTCTATCAACAACTTAATTGCCATGGCCCACTACACATTATTGAGTTTTTTAAGGAAATGGGGACAAGAGAATTTATGCTCGTGTGCTCTCTTTAGAAATTTTTATAATTGCTATTTTATATCTAAGTGGGCAATCATTCTTAAATTTAAGGTGGTAAGAGTTAATGTTTTTTTTATATAATGAAGTCGTGAATGTGTTATGACTGAATTCTCCGAGAATGTTTACTTTTTTTTGACACAGTGTTATACCGGAACATAGCTATTCTATTGTTAATAGACTTTCCTACATATAATAAGTAGTAGTAGTAGTAGCTCAGTGAGCTCATTGAGTTAGTGAGTTAGTCGATGTCGGACATTAAAGTATCAACCACGACAACTAGATTGCTGCGTCATTAACTATTATTTCAAGTTCCTAACGTTTTGTACGTCGAACCTAATTTAGGACTGACTTAGTGAAATACAAGGCTCCACTGTGAAAACTACTTTACAATACACAGTTCATAAGTAAAGTTTACAAGTTTTTTTTTTGGTTTTGAGATTATCAATTTTCTCTAAAATAAAATATCGTCTACAAGGCGGACATATATTTTGGTTTTATTGACTTGTTTAAATATCGTGTTTTTTTTTTACGCGAGACATGCAGAAAAGCATGGGCCGAGAGGATATCCCATGCTAATACCATTAATTTGGGTGTAGATATCGCCATTATGGTCGTGGAAATGGACTTTAGTTGTGTTGGCATGCAATAATTTTTTGAGGAGATTTGGTTTGATGGATAGAGGTGGAATTAAAAGCAAAAAAAGATGAGGTCTGAGAAAGTAAAAAAAAGAAAAAGACAGGGAGAATTTGTTTCTTTGGACGTGGTTAACGGGGAATATTGAGTTGCTGCTATGCGACGTTGGTAATCAATAAATAAACATCGATAGCGTGATCTCATGTGATTAGAATCATTAACAAAGGGAAAGAAGAGAGGGACGCGAAAGGACGACAAAAATACAAAGAAAGGAGGGCCGATGAAGAGAAGTGTGAATCGAAGAGGGAAAGGATAAACAAAAAAAAATAGAGAGAATAAGAAAAAGTGTTTTGATCTTAGCGATGGGGACGTGTCAAGGCGCTTTGTCTTATTCGATTTATTCGAACTAATGTTCACATTTTGGTAATTACAGCTGTTACTATAGAGACGACGTTTCAACCAATTACGCTCTGGTCATCATCAGGTGTCTATTATTTTTGGCTGGTATAGGATAATTTATATATCTATATTATTAAGTCATTTTCTACTGTATGGACGTTAATAGGTTGAGCTATAGTGTCCTGCCTGATGGGCTGTCTGCCTCCTTGAGGCGACGAAAGGACAATCTGTTCCAGTGCAAATGTGAAATATTCAAAAAAAGGGTAAAAAAAAAATACGAATAATAATAATAATTTTCACTAGTTGTACCGCGAATATCCGATTTTCTGCAAAAAATATTAAGTTCATAGTCAACTTTTATCGAAATGGACTCCATTAACAAGGAACGAAAAAATAATGTTCCCTCTATTTCAGTGTATTGCCTGCCCAACCCCATAAAGTCTACCACGCTGTCTGCGACTAAAAGACAGTCTTTCCTTGCGCAAACGAGGCCAAAACCACAAGTAGATCCCAAGAATAAATTACGAAAAATAATTTCCCTTCTGTTTCAGTGTCCTTACTGATGAGACTATGAAGCAACTGAAGGCGACTAAAGGACAGTCTGTTCCAGTGCAAATAGGAAATATTTCAAAAAGACCTCATGAGTAAAGTACGAATAATAATAATTTTTATTTCATTTGGGAGTCTCGCTTACTGGGCGCCTTAGTCCTCATCATAGTTTCAAGGGCACATCACGTTGAAACATTGTTTCCCGTACGATAACCGTTGTTAAGCAACGTTGATACTGGTCAGTAACTAGATGAGTGACCTGTTGGGATTACCATGTGCTGTAAGCTTGGATGTGCGGGTGGAGTAATGGGCTTACGGCCAAATCATGTTCAAACATTGATTCTCGTACGATCACCGTTGTTAAGCAACGTCGAGCCTGGTCAGTAACTAGATGGGTGACCGTTTAGGAATAGCAGGTGCTGTAAGCTTGGATGTGCGGGTGGTGTAATGGGATTATGGCCAAATCACGTTCACCATTGTTAAGCAACATCAAGCCTAGTCAGTAACAAGATGGGTGACCAGTTGAGAATATCATGTGCTGTAAACTTGGATGTGCGGGTGGCGTAATGGATAATGACTCAGAATTGTTTAGAGAGCCGAGTTCCAATTCCTATTGATTTCATTATATTCACTTACGCAATATCCGTGGTGAAAGACATGAATCCACCTCTACTCCCCCAGCTATGGGTTAATTAATACAACTTGTATCACTAAACCATTAGTATTTCCAAGAATAAAATAAAATTGTGTGCAAAATATTTAGATTTTGACATTAAATAACCCATAGAGGTGTTGATATGCCACTAAAAAAAAAAAAAAAAAAAACAACCAAACCCAACTAGGAACCGCATTCACTTTACAGTGATTCCCGAAGACACTGACTTTCTCCTGTCTCCCTTCGCAGATTGAAACCAATGGTCATGACGGAAGGTTTTCCATTATGAAATCAACGGTCACGTAACCGAGGACCAAGGAGAGCCTTCAAGTTCACATTGGCTCACTACAAGTTCACATGGGCTCACTACAAGTTCACATTGGCTCACTACAAGGAAAGCGATAATACCACTAGGACGCGGGTATGAAGATAAACTACATTCGAGAGCAAGGCCTCTGATCGGGAGATTGGAGGTTTTGAGGATTTGAAACCACTCCTTAATTGCTGTTGTTCTCACATCCACCCTGACCCTGGGTGGTAGCTATGGGAAATTAGTGAACCCCTAAAAAAACACTATGAAAGTATAAATACAATTTTATAGTAAAAATATTAGCAACATATTTTTATATAAAATATGACCAACAATACATGTTTATAGTAAAATGACCAACAGTACATTTTATTTGTAGTTGAAGGCATACAATGGCGTTCAAAATATATTTAGTTTAAGACAGAAAATTGCGTACAAAAATTTAGATTTCGGCATTACATAACCCATAGAGGTGTTGATATTCCATTATTTTTGCAATAAACACAAACTAATATAGCGGATTCGAAAGAAATACAATAAATAAATTTTATACTTACATCAATTAAATAAGATAATTATTTTTTTCAAATGTATTGAATTTTTAAGTCGACTACTGCAATAAACTAACCCAAACCCAAACCGAAATTAAAATACCTCGCTCTCAGTGGAACGAGTAGCTTTTGAAATATACCTTCAGTTCTGTGCTTTAGTTGCATCATGAATAGGACTGTAGTATAGAACGCCATCTTACTTTGAGAAAAAGGAAAATGTGGACAACCATGGTCGTCTACGTTTTGAAGAGACGTCTTACTTGAAAAGATTAGATTATTTCCTTCAGAATCATATGAAATTTATTGCCTTATCTACGGCAAATAAGGAAATATAATGTAATCTAGGAATAAAGGAAAAGCCTAAGTAGGAGTTTATTTTATACAAAATAGGATTTATGTTAAACCACTGATTCTTACTGTTATATAGGAATAAAGTGTCGCTGCCGACACTTGAGTTTGAACATAGATCGTCAGTGAGCAAACACAGGCGATCCCATTATTGAATTAAGTAGACCACGTGACCATACAAGAAATGCATATATGGAAGGTAGCGTGTGTCTAATTGATCGCGATTTCTATTCTATCGTCTTTTGCTATTCGAATCGATATTTCTACTCAATCCTCTGTTTTTATATGGACCCCTATTCTCTGTACTTTTATTATTCCTCTAATCAGATCACTATAGGGATTACTATTTGAGCGAGTATTATCGAGCAAGTACTATTAGTGCGAGTGATATTCGAAGGCGTCTGACACCAGTATTGTTCAACGGCGTTATTATAGTTGTATCTGCGATTACAAAGTCTCTACTACAACGAGCATTACGAAAGTGACAACGAGTATTCGTGGGGATTACAAAACGTAAATAAACTCCATCATGAACGTAAAAAATACAGGCATCTCGACGTTGTGTAATTCTTAGCAAGCTTATTTCGCTGGATCATTTACAACTGAATAGAAAGTTCGGTCCTCACTGGGTGCCCCATATTATTGGCCTTGTGCCACATCCAAGCTACGCTTAGAAAATCCTCATTGTGCACCTCAACGTGGTGTAATGGTTAGCAAGCCTGTCTCGCTAGAACAATTACTACTGAGTAGTGACTTCGATCCTCATTGGGTGCCCTATACTTTCGGCCTTGTGCTACATCTAAGATACGCTTTGAAAATCACCGTCGGACACTTTGACGTGGTGTAATGGTTAACAAGCTTGTCTCGCTAGATCAATTATGACTGAATTATTCGATCCTGAATTGTCCAGTTCGATCCTCACTTATGCTTTTGAACTTCAAACCATTTTAATCTTTCGGAATAGTAAAGTTTGATCTTCACTGGATGAATGGATGATCTTGTGCCAGATCAACACTTATAAAATCTGGGAAACGACGTTTGTAATGGTTAACAAGTTTGAATTGCTAAATCAATTAAGACTGGATAGTAAATTCGATCCTCACTGGGCGCTCCATACTTTCGGCCTTGTGCCACATATAATCCACGTTTATAAAATCAGGGAACTTCGACGTGTTGTAATGGTTAACAAGTTTTTCTCGCTAGATCAATTAAGACTGAATAGTGAGTTCGGTTCTCACTGGGTGCCCCATAATACCGGCCTTGTTCCACATCCAGGCTACGCTTAGAGAACTATCATTAATGTAAAAAAAAAATGTTATTAAGTTTTAAAATCGTTTCGTTGGAAAATTTGATCGAGGCGATTTGAAATATGCCTCCGGTTCTGGCCTTTAGTTGCACCATGACTAGGTCTGTAGTATAGAACGCCATCTTACTTAGAGAAAAATGAAATTGTGAACTGCCGTTGTCCTCCGAGTTTTGAAGAGAAGTGGTATTTAAAAAAAAGATTACATTATGTCGTTCAGAATCATATGGAATTTATTGCCTAAGTCAATTAAGCATGACAAATAAGGAAACGTAAATAAACGGCATCATTAACGTAAAAAAATATTATTAAATTTTAAAACCGTTTCATAATTTCGGGAAAAGTTGTATCAGCAGCTTCCGATGTATATTATTTCATGACTGCAAATAAGACGAGACAGCACAGACACTTCATGAATTAATAATGGCTTTACGATGTAACGGACACAATTTTATAAACGAATCTCACGTTGAATGCATAATTTCGGTTTCCAATACACAATCTGGAAAGTCTGTGAATGATACGAAAATGATATGAAAAAACTATAGTTGAAAGAAGATACGAAGTAAATATTTAGAAAATATAGTTGTTGATATTATACAATGTGCGGCCGAATTACCTCCACACATTAGTCGATTTTGGAAGCTTAGTATTACACTAAGTTTGAAAGTTGAGGTTTTGACATATTGACACAAATATTGTTTGCAAAAATCGTTGTTTTTTGAGGAAACCAGTTTGAAGATTAAGTTTATGTTCAAAATCGTAGCGTTGAAATTTAATTCTGGTGATCAGTGAAAGGCCTATAAAATTTATAATTTATTGAAACTTTACAAAGTGTATGGACAAGTTGAAAGGCACAAGAACATTATTACTAAATCGTTGTGTCACCAAATAAGACCTTCATTTTCTTCAAAGGGAAGTTATACTGAACAATTTAGCTATATTATGATGTAATA